TCATAATAGAAGAAGTGTCAGCATGAAATGAATTTAAATTGTTTTACTGAGTAGATTTCATTTGTGCAAACAGAAAGCAAGTCTCTGAAAACCAATTTAATGGTCAGAAAAACTAAGATCTAATACTTCAATCAATTCCTATGCTGTCTTTTCTGGGATGAGCACAAATAGACCCCTAAATATATGTTAAAGTAGTGAGTTGACGCAATGCCGTACATTTGTGGTTCTGCTCAAGAAACTTTGCAGCATTATTTTTCAGAGTTTTTAAAAAATCTATTGTGGGTTTACATTTTAGATGAGATAAATAAAACAAGCTCATTTCTATGATGTATCAAGTTATTGAAAGTAAGACAGTAGACTCAAAATAGGCTTTCATAAAAGTTCAAATTCCTTTTGTAAAACATACACAGTTTTACTAGTAATCGTGTATTGTGATTGTTTTGGACCAGCGGAGGAGACTTAACTACTTATTAGCACTTTCTCTATTTTGGTTAGATAAATCTAGCTGTTAGGGAAATTGAGTAATCTGTTGTACTATACTAAATAGTTATAGTAATATAATCGTGCTGCTGCTGATAATAATAGTAAAAATAGCATTAAGTATTTTCTATGTACCAGACAGTATGCAAGCCACTTGACTGAAGTCTTTAATTGAATACTCTTAGATGCCTGTTACATGCCAATTTGATGGGTGCTGAGTCTGATGTGTACAGAGGTTACATAGCTTGCCTAAAGTCACATTGATATACAATCTCTTCTATATTGAATATGATCTTATTATCATACTATAATTACTGAAGCAACTGAATCAATTAGCTGGTTATTGGTAGAGATACGATGTTACATTTTATCTACTATTCTATAACAAATACTGTACTATTTTTGAGATGAACTCTCATTAAACCTGGCACATTTTGGAACTAAAATTGTTTTTATAGGTGTATCAGGACATTCTGTCAAACTTAAAATAATGGGCTTAAAAGGAGTGTCCCAAGTCATCTTGTCATTATTCCTTTTTCAAAGTGTTTGTACAGATTTCTTCTTCCTTTTTGAGAACAATTTATGTCTTCTATTGCAGTCTTGTCCCATAATTTTAAATGAGAATAGGATCATTTTATAAATGGGTGAGAATTCAGGTGAGATTCTTGTGTTTTCACAACAAAATGTTAACTCAGACATTTATATTTTTCTGACCACTCTGCTTAAGCTCTCTCCCTCTTCTTGCTCCTTACTTGCTAGACTCAAGGTCGCAAATAGCCATATAAATATATAGCTAAAACTAGAAATTTGAAATATTTTGGGATCAGTGAAGCCATGCACAAGAGTCAGGTGATGTCGAAAAGACTTTTCACAGCATAATGGATTGTCTCTTGTAAGTCTCATAATGAACTTGACACTGAAAGTTATATTCCTAGTCTATCCACAACAAAAAATTTGAAAGATGTATTTATAGTCTTATTTTGAATGTAGGCTTTATTGTTGTTGGATGCAAACCATCCTAAACCGTGGTATATTTTGTGTTAATAGTAAGTATGTAAAGCTCTAGTACTAACATTGAAAAAGAAAGTATGCATACTTGAAGGAAAATTAACATTAATATTTGTTTTTAAGATAGAGAAATCTTGGCCAATATAATAACAAATAAAAAAGAAACTTTTCATTCAATATTATTGTCAGTATCATTTTTTGAAAATAATTCTCTTATAACAGTGGAAAAAAATGGGTGGCGCACTATGTTGTAAATTGAGCTATAACTGTGTTTTTTAAAATGCATATAAAAATGGAAAAATGTGTCAGTTTCAAACAACAGCATTAAATAATGTACAGTCATGCATCATTTGATGTCCAGTGGTCTGTGAAATAGAACATTATGTGATTTGACGTTGTGCAAACACCATATTACATGCAGGCAGTCCCAGGGTTATGAACATCCAACTTACAAACAACTTGTACTTAAGAATGAACTACCGTAAAGCCTATTATATTAAAAATTTGAGTTAAATACATACAATGATTTGTAATAATGAATGCACATTACTTTGTTACACACATGAAAACATTGTGCGGTTTGGAAGTATTTCTTAAGTATTATGTACACTACATCCCTTTCTCTGATCGGGATTTCTGAACTCTGTTATAACTTTATGGGACCATGTATATATGTGGTCAGACATCGCCCAAATGGATGTTATGCGGCACACGACTATATTCTAATGTACTCCAAAGACTTCTTGAACCAATAGTTAGAACTGCTGTTAACTGGGTTTGAACTCAGGGAAAGCATGGACAGTAATGGCTTTTGATTTCATTGGTTGTTGTTTGCCAGAAATATCATCTGTAAAGACATGTTAATTTGCAAAGAGCTTGATGGCAAAATAATAAAGGATTTTTTTTTTTTAAAGTTATCTAGATAGGGAAAAAATGCAGAACAGAATTTCAAATTCTCATGGACTCCAGACTTTCTGGGTTGGATGAACCCCTGAGACTATTGCCCTGAGATAATCTTTAAAACTTAAGTGAAAAGTATCACCTGAAGACTTCTTAAAACTAAACAGTAGTTTAGTTCAACTAGTAAAAAATGTCTGCCTTGAACATTATACTCTTTCAAGAACTATCTGTATGAGATCAAAGAGACAACAGCAACTCAAAAGATTAAATAGGAACCTTAGGGGGCAGAGAGTTTATGTCAGTTGGAGAGGAACAACTCAGAAAAGGAGGGTGAGAATGGTTGCACAACTGGAAAGATGTAATCAGTGTCACTCAATTGTACATGTAGAAACTGTTGAATTGTTATATGTTTTGCTATGCATATTCTCATCATCAACAACAAAATAAAATAAAAAAAAGACTTAGAAGATGTATCAGTAAATTCTAAAACACTGACTTTATTTGGATTCTGATTTTTAAAAAAAATTGAATTATGACATTTATGAGAATTGGAAATTTGAACTCTGGCTGGTTATTTTATGACATTAAGGATTGATTGTTAATTGTTTTATGTATAATAATTATTTGTAAAAGAGTGATCCTTACATTTTAGAGTTAAGTATTGAAATGTTTATAAATAAAATGATACAATAGCTGGAATTTGCTTCAAAATAATATGGGAAGGAGGAAATGTTTGAGAGTGTGAATGGGCAGGATTGGTTGTTGGGGCTGAGTGATGAGTACATAGAGAATCATATACATATTTTTACGTATGCTTGAAGTTCTCTACAATAAAAAGTTTTTAAAAATCTTAAGTTAGCTACATAAAATATGTTATTGTGTGCATGATGAGAAAATAATCTATGACAGGGAAGCTTGGAGACTGTTAGTTCACATCAAGACCTTACATGGTGTGAATATGCAGCAGCCATTATACCAATCACTAAGAAAATAACTGCCTCAAGAGTTGGCATCTTGATTTTCTATGACAGTAAACTGACGATTAAAAAATGGTGGTAATTCTTAAGTTTTTGAGAAACTTAACATGAGAAGTAGTACTCAGTGATTTGCATACCCTAGCTTACCTTGGGAAAATTGTTACATTTCAAATTCATGGTTTATGTCTTAGGTTTTGCTTTTCCTTCATAAAGTAAAGCAAAAGTGAAAAAAAAAGGGTAAAAACTTGGAAATAATAAATTGTTCATGTAATCATTGATATATTCATTAGATGATTTTTCAAGTTTGAATATTTTAATAAACAGTTCTTCTACAAGATTATTGCCATGAAAATGAGGTCAAGGGTTAGATACAGAGAGTTGATGAGGAGTACTGTCAGTCTTTTGACACATTGTTTATTTACATGTGAATGAAAACTACAAAATAAGCATTAATATAAAGAATGCAGATTATCAAAAAAATAGAGGAAGAAGAAGAAATAGAGGAAGGAAGAAGAAAGAATGGATCAGACGTTTTCAGTGCACTCTATGCCACACATGACTTGATCTTGCAGCATGAAGTCTTACTGATCAGCATGTACCCCATCAGGAAGAGCCTGAAAACCTAGCCTCATCGCACTTCTTTGGCAGCATCTGAGTCACAGTTTCTCAGTGATTGCTGTGACATAGTTCCTAAAGCGAAAGTCTATTTCTGTGCATTATTTTGTATGAATCTGAATTTTGAAATATTGTGACACAGAGAAGCAGATTTCTTCCATTCTGATCTTAATATGAGATGTCAGTGCTCTAATTGAGTCCATTTTTCAGAATGTGAGTTTTAGTGCAGTAGTGCTTTGTTAGTTAATCAAGACTGTTAGAGAACTATTTTTTCATTATAAGTGATATTTTACATTAATATATTAAAACTAATGTATTATGGAGATGCGTGAAAAACATTAATTTTTTACATACAGCCTGTGTGTAGAAAGAATTCTCTTGCTTGATATATACTAGGGATTAGTAGAAGATATATCCAGTTGAAGAATACTTTTCTGTTACAACATTGATATTGAAGACCTTTCTCATCAAATTATCAATTGTGTCTAGTAATATGATCTGTAGGTGGCATAAATTTTCAATGTGTATTACCAGAATAAAATCTTGATTTTCCACAATTTATATGCTGTTTTTCCCCAATTATGAGAACTAAATAACCCAGTATATTCCCTTTTAGCCTTATATTCTAGAAAGCTTTGAATTAAATTTTGTTAAGCCTTTTCCTTTATTTGTAATTATTTTGAATTATCCTCTTTTATATGTATTTATATGTTGCTAGCCCAAAAAATACTCTTTGGAAATATATGGGTTATAAATTATTCTGGCAGCATACCTTTAATTTTCATTTATTTAAATGAAATGTGGATGAATAATTAATTTTTGAAACTGTAGGTTTTAGCCTTTTCATCCTCTACTCCCGTACACATTATGTTGGTTGTGATACTTCAGTGAGAATTATAGTGGTATATTTATTTTTTCATTTATCTTCTGAATTGTGCAATACTTCATTTGAACTGATGAGTAAATAGTTTTTCAGAAAGGAATTAGCAGTGATTTTACGATTATTATTATTATTTTCAGCAAGGCTAGAGAAGATCTGCTGAAAACTCAGAAAGAACGTGATTTTCATCGAATGCACCACAAGCGAATAGTCCAGGAAAAAAACAAATTAGTTAATGATCTCAAAGGGTAAGCTGCTAATATTTGTTGAAATATTTATCAAGGAATTATTTAATTAGCGTTAAGTAACTAATAGTAACTTCTCAAGTAACTTCTCTGGTAGAAGGTTTCAGACAAAAGTTCAACATTTATTGAACATCTACTGTGTGCCAGACACTAGACTATGTGTTTGAAATACAAAGTTAAGTAAGTCTAGGCCCTTTCTATAAAGGGACCCAGAGACTAATGGGGGAGGGAAAGAGAATTATGCAGAATATACTGCACTGTTGCTATGCTGGTCACTCAGCCAGACTGGAGCACTAGAGGGTTTAGGTATGTATTTCCAGAGGAATTAAATTCTAAAGTATAAGTAAAGACTTCATAGAGTGAGGGAATGGGGTCAGTAGGGTGCTCTGGGAAGATGACACATGCTGTATAAAGGCACCAAGTCGTGAAGGAACTTGACATGTTTACCAGACTGCAAGCATAGAGAGCAAAGTGCAGATGAGGCTTGATGAGTAGAGGCATTATGAATAACCTTGAATTTATGCTGAGGCTTTTAGAAATTATTCTGAAGACATTGTTTAGATTTGTTTCACTCACCTCTCTTCTCCCAAAAAAATAATTTACAGTCCTTAACTAAAATTCCCCTTTGTTTGCTCTAGGGCAGTTCTGTCCAATAGAACTTTCTGTGATGACAGAAATGTTCTGTATCTGCACTGTACAATACAGTAGTCACTAGCTGCATGTGCTTATTGAGTACTTCCAATGTACCAGTACAACTGAGGAACTAGATTTTTAAGTTTTTAAAATTTTAGTTAATTTAAATTTAAATAGCCACCTTTGGCTAGTGGCTACTGTCTTGAACAGCACAGTTTAGGAACGGTAGTAAGAATTACTGTTTTTTCTAAGTTTACCCACCTAGCTATTATCATTTCTCAATTTCCTATAGTCTGTCTCATGGAGTTTCAGAATTCATGTAATTTCAAACTTAGTAATATATTAGAAAGTAGAGTTTTCTGATTTTTCTTAAGTTGAACCTCCATAGGAATAAACCACCAGTTTAAAAGAGATATTAACTTAAACATTTAGTTTTTAAACTTTAAACTGAAAATATCCCCTGAAGTCATCTTAAAACTGAACAATAGTTTAGCTTAAGTAGTAAAAATGGTCTGCCTTGAGCATTATTCTCTTGTAAGAACTATCTGTATGGGATCAAACTGACAACAGCAACTTGAAAGATTAGACAGGATCCTTGGGGGGCAATGAGTTTATGTTAATGAGGGAAGAACAATTCAGAAAAGGAGGGTGAGAATGGTTACACAACTTGAAAAATGTAATCATTGTTACTAAATTGTACACATAGACACTGTTGATTTGGTGTATGTTTTGCCATGTATATTCTCAACAATGACAACAAATGAATAAAATTTAGAAAGAAAGACTTCAGTCTAGGAAACCCTATGGGGCAGTTCTACTCTGTCACATAGGTTCCCTAGGAGTCAGAGTCAACTCGACAGCACACAACAGCAACCAACAGAATAAAGAGGGACATAAAATTTAAATGTCCGAAATGCCTTGATTTCTTTCTTCCGCTCTTACGGAAGGCAGGGCATTATCTGAAGTAATTAAGAGGAAATATGGTTTGCATTTCCTTGTAGCAGGATTTGAAGTGTCGATTGTATTACAAGATGAGTTTGATGACCATAGCTTTATAGCTTTAACTATGTACTAAAGCATAATATAAAGAAAAATCCACATACCAAAAAAAAAAAAAAAAAAGAGGACTTACTCTCCTCCCACTCCTTGTCCTAATACAAGCAGGCTTTAGTACTTCAGTATCTGTGTTGATGGCAGTTTGAGAGAATCTCTGCATATGGTTTTGGCACCTGAAACATAGTTCCCCACTGTTGCTTCTCGGATGGTCGGATGGTCTACCCTTTGGTAAATTACTACATCATTTCACTTGTTTTTTGAGTCTGTCTATGTTGAGTCTGTAGCCTATGTTTTGAGTCTCTAGCCTGTATGCTGAACAAATAATCCAAGAAGCTGGACTATATGAAGAAGAATCAGATAATCCGAGAAGCTGGACTAGATGAAGAATGGGGCATCAGGATTGGAGTAAGACTCATTAACAACCTGCAATATGCAGATGACACAACCTTGCTTGCTGAAAGTGAAGAGGACTTGAAGCACTTATTGATGAAGATCAAAGACCACAGCCTTCAGTATGGATTACACTTCAACATAAAGAAAACAGAAATCCTCAAAACTGGACCAATAAGCAACATCATGATAAATGGAGAAAAGATTGAAGTTGTCAAGGATTTCATTTTACTTAGATCCACAGTCAATGCTCATGGAAGCAGCAGTCAGGAAATCAAATGACACATTGCATTGGGCAACTCTGCTGCGAAAGACCTCTTTAAAGTGTTAAAAAGCAAAGATGTCACTTTAAGGACTAGGCTGCACCTGATCCAAGCCATGGTGTTTTCAGTAACCTATATGTATGCAAAAGCTGGACAGTGAATAAGGAAGACCAAAGAAGAATTGTTGCCTTTGAATTATGATGTTGGCAAAGAATATGAATATTCTATGGACTATCAAAAGAACGAACAAATCTGTCTTGGAAGAAGTACAGCCAGAATGCTTCTTAGAAGCACGGATGGCAAGACTTTGTCTCATGTACTTTGCACATGTTATCAGGAAGGACCAGTCTGTAGAGAAGAACATCATGCTTAGTAAAGTAGAGGGTCAGTGAAAGAGAGGGAGACCCTCAACGAGATGGATTGACACAGTGACTTCAACAGTGGGCTCAAGCATAACAACGATTATGAGGATGGCGCAGAACCAGGCAGTGTTTCGTTCTGTTGTACTCAGAACCGACTTGACCACACCTAAGAACAACAACAGCCTATGTTCAAAATTATATCATACTAGTTAAATTTCTTAGTATATAAAAATCCAGTATTTTCAGATTATGCTTTTTTCCTCCATATTTTGTTATCTTGGGGGCCCTGGCGAAGAAACCCACAACCATTGTAATCCAGCCTGCTTGGTGTATACTCAAGATAGCCCTTATTTCTGCATTTATCATCAAGAGTAATGTCTCCATTTAACCATCTGGATGAATCACTAACATGCATTTTGTAAGGACCTAAAACAAAATTTCAACGATGCCATCAGAGTCACACACACACACACACACAAAGAAAAAAAACACTAATTATCAAATTAGCTAATCACCGTTGAACACCTTGTCTAATAACTGTGCCATTGCATAATAAATCAGGTAAATAAGAGTTTTTTTTTTTTTTAAATTATGCTTTAGGTGAAAGTCTACAGAGCAAATCCATTTCCCATTTGATAGTTTGTACGTAAAGTGTTTCGTCACCTTGATTTCATTGCCCACAATGTGGGAGGAGTGTTTTTGATGCTAGGCAAAGTTAGATTCCTCTATATGATATTCTACTTAGATATTTCCAATGTGTATCCATATTTTGTTTTATGGTACCCACTAAAAGTTGACCTTATGTTTTTTTCTTCTGTAACTTGTTTAACTAATAGGTTGATAATTCATTGATTTTACTTATCAATTTTACAGCATTTCCCATGTATCATGAGTTTTTTTTTTTTATTATGAGTATACTAATTTTCAGAAATATCAATACCAAAAATTAAAATCTGCAGACAGCCGAATTGTGTGGTACTTGTCAAACTTATAAAAAGAATATACCCTTCCAATGATTAAACAGAGGGTTTCTCTGAAAGTTGTTTCCTTGCTATACTCCAGTGATATTCTGTGTATTGCTTATTCTTTGGGCAGAGGGTCATCAAGCATATCTCATGAATCTGATGCCAAAATCACTAAATAAAGGAAAACCTGTATTATTAAAATTTTCCTTAAATATCCTTAAATTGTCCACAAATTATAACATACATGGCTTTGTGTATACAACTCTTTATCTGGATATATGTTTATAAATGTATAATGTTTATGGAAGTGTGTAATACATGGAAAAAAATATATATGCTAAGCACATTAAGTGGAATGGAAGGATAGAATTGTACGTACTAATTACATGTTTACTTTTGTTACTCTTTCCACATCACTTTGTTGAGTATGGTTGAATTAATATACATTAAATATATGTATAATGTAACTGTACTACTAGGTTTAATTGTTGTTATCTATGAAGTGTAATCATAAATTATATTAATAGAAGATACTATTTCTAAATAAATGGCTTTCATAAATACTATAATGAAAATAAAAGAGTAAAGTGGTCATACTCAGCTGATTAGCCGGATATGAGAGTGAAGAGCTTCACAATGGGATGGAATTTGCAGGACAGGGTACCTGAAATGAAAGAGGTACATGAAAAGGAAATTAGGAAATCTCTGTAGTGGTTCTCTTTGGTCTTTGGAGAAATGCTAAGTTGTGGAAGTACAGGGTGCAAGAACATGAGGACTGGCAAAAAACAGCTCCTGGGAAGATGAGAGCAAAATGTATACTCCAGAGGTTGCACATGCTTGGGAGGTATAGAAGTTCTGATCATCTACAATGGAGGGACCTCATTACTGTCAGTACTCTCAGTACTCTGAGAATTCAGTTAAGACCCTTGCTAAACTGCACCTTAGGAGCAGGGTTATTCTAGTCCTAGAGAAGGGACTACTTTAAACTTACCATAAAAACAAAAACAAAAAACATAAAAGCAAACTTTGAAAGGTTTAAATTGACTCACTTAGTAACAAAGCCAGAACAAAGCTGTTTAAAGGAAGATAACAAAATCCAGACAAATTATGTATGTATGTATGCCCAACATATAATAAAAAATATATACGTATAAAGAAGCAGAAAATGTGTCCAGTGACCAGAAAAAAAAATAGAAACAGTCCCAGAGATAACAAAAATAATATAATTAGCAGATGAAGACTTTAAAACAACTATTAAGAAATGTTTAGGGGTTTAAAGAAAATGATGAATAGTACGAGTGAGCAGACGGGAAACTTCCTAAGTGAAATGAAAA